CTCCCTCTCCCTCTCCCTCTCCCTCTCCCTCTCCCCCCCCGTGTGTGTGTGTTGCTAATAGAAAGATCTACAATGTCCTAAAGTCAGTTGCAGAGTTACAGGCCAGAGGGTAGAGCAAGAGAAACCAGCTAACAGTTTAGGCAGCAGGCAAAACTCCCATGAGCACGGCTACTAGGGTACCATCTCCTTATGTGACACCTTCTCCTGTCCTTTGTCCTGTCCTCCAGTCCTTAAAACGTGCCCAGTTTTCTTTTGTCCCTTCCCTCTTGTCTACGGATCTGAGGAGCTATAATTTAGCCTTTCTTTCCCAAGATTTTCTTTCCTTTCAAAGTGTCTATTACATTTGGTGCGTGTGTGTGTGTGTGTGTGTGTGTGTGTGCACATGGAGAGGTTAAAGGACCGTTTGTGTGGATTTGTTCCTTCTTTCCACCATATGCATCCCAATAATCAAACTGATCAGACTTGATCAGGTTCTTGATCTCTGCGGCAAGTGCCTTTACCTACGGAAGCATCTCACCAGCACGCAGGTTCTCATGATCGAATGTCTGGGGTAGCCATCCTAGCAAGAGAGAAGATCTCAAGACGTACTTCTGCCCCTCTTTGGCTATCAGAATACTGAGACAACAGACTCCAAAAAATTGGATTTCTTGAAAGAATCTCACACTTGGAAGGGCAACAGCTGAAACTGATGCCAGCCAGAACAGGAGCTTGTCGCCCAGAAAGAGATTTCACACAGTTCTGACAGCCTGCCAGACTGCCTTGCAGGAGAGACCGGAGCTGACACAGTGAGGAAGGCTCAGTGATGAGTGGACCACACTTTCTCCAGAGCTGCTTGGCTAGTACTCTCCATTGAAACTTAAACTTCACATCTGTCCCCTGAAAGAGGCACTTGTGGGTTGTTGGGCCTCGCCATTTTGTTCCCCTTCCCACATGGAATAAGTCTCCTTCCTCTGCTTCTCACTACCACTCATCTCTTCAGTTGGCATATTGAGGACAGTGGTCAAGTCTGGCTTGTTAGAGAGGCCAGAGAGAGCCCAGGCTGTGCCTCTAACACCTCCGAGAACACAGACAGATGTTACAGATGTTCCTAACTGCCAACTGGTTCTGCAGCTGGATCTGAGGGAGAATATTCCAGGACTGGTCCTGTCTTCCTGGCTTTGGGCTGTAATGATCTCACAAACCATTTCATTTCAGAGACCTCTTAGTCTCTAGAACTTTCCTTTAACAGTATGTTAGAGGCTGATCCTCCCCCTCGGGGTTCTTGTCACTCCCCCTCAAGTCCTGTGCACGTGTCTTAGTCACTTTTCTTCTTCAGCAATAAGACACTATGCGGTGGCTTATAGAAGGAAGAGTTTGTTGGGGGCCTACAGTTTCAGAGGGTGAGCCCATGACCACCATGGCAGGGAGCAATGCAAGAGGCAGTCAAGCATGGCTCTGGAGTAGTAACTGAGAGCTTACATCTCAAGGTAGAGAAAGCTGACTGGGAATGTCATGGGCTCTTTAAACCTCAAAGCCCATTCCCAGTGACACACCTCCTCCAATTAAACCACACCCTCCAATCCTTCCCAAATATTTCTATCAACTGGGGACTGCACATTTAAATATATAAGCCTGTGCAGCCATTCTTTCTGAAGCCACCACAGCACCCTTGCACATAGTTCTGTTGGGCCTGGCACATTAGAAGACAGCACTTGAAAAATGATCTAGAATCCTTGAGTACATTTTACTAGAAAGCCCCTCAGTTCACAGCCGTATCATGGGACAGGGACAGGGGTGGGGACCGGTACACCGGGTAACTTGGAGAAATGGATCACAGATCACCTGTGTGCACCACACAGTGGTCAAAGCTTTTCTAGTTTGCTCTTTCTCCCCTTCTGAGATTATCCTCTGGTAACTTTGCCACAGGCTACCAGACAAGAAGCTTGTTCACTTCATGGGCCATCACAAGGAGAACTTGCCCCCCTAAGAGGCGGGCACTATCCAAGAAGATATCTGTTAGAAGTGTGGTATATATTTGTCACAGAGTAGAGTAGAGTACATCTGCCTATGGCTCCCACCTCCCCATGCTGCTTCTCGGAGTCCTAGAGAACTGAGTCTCTCAGGCGTGTGAGGGAAGAAGAGCTTGGTTCTCTAGACCTTTCTGAGTCAGTCTCTCTCTCTCTCTCTCTCTCTCTCTCTCTCTCTCTCTCTCTCCCTCCCTCCCTCCCTCCCTCCCTCCTTCCCTCCCTCTCTCCCTTCCTCCCTCTCTCCTCTCTTCTGTCTCTCTGTCTCTCTGTCTTTCTGTCTCTGTCTCTCTCTCCCCCTCTCTCTCCCTCCCTCCCCACCCCTTTACCCCCATTGATGCAGCCTGGCAAGACTGGGAAGTAGAGGAACATGCTGAAATAAATCCTGTCCACAAGTGTATGCAATGTATGTGTAGTGGGTGGTATCATGCCTCCTTCACTGCAGGACTGGTAGAAGAAAACTCCTTTCAAGAGGTCGGGAAAACACTCCTGGCCTTTGCTCTCTGCTGCTCCTCTGATTGCCACTAGAGGGCAGAAGGCGACAGCTCCAACTAAGTGGTTTTGATGTCAGGATGATGACTCCACAACCCCAGCTTTCTTAATAAGGTGGAACCTAGTCCCAAGCAGGGTGGACCACTGGTACCACAGCTCGACGTTAATGTCCCTTGTCTTAGATCCAGTGGATGTGTGAGTCTGTGACAGTGTTACAAGTTGAGTTATTAAAGGCACAGTGTAAGGAAACAGAACTGTGAGAATTGTGAGAAGTATCCTCACAAGGATAAAGCTAGAAAGGGGAGACGAAGCCTGGAGCTGAGGCAGGACCCAGTCCCTGGGCTGAAAGGCAGGCCATAAGGCAGAACCAGCTGACCAGGGAAAACCACATGGTTTCTGAAGCCAAGCTGCCCAGATTCAAACCTTGGCTTCTCTGGGTACAAGCTATGTGGATTTGATGGGAACTGAAGCTCTCTGTGTCTTGGTTCTGTGTCTGGGAGACAGAGACAGTAACAGCACCATCTTCTGCCCTAGATGTGATGTTAACTGGGTCAGCTCATCTGAATCACTTGGGCCATGTCTGGCACAGAGTGGGAATTGTCAGCACTTAGCATCTTCTGACCTTGATCTTAGCCAAAAGGCCAAGAAATTATTCAGCAGTAGTTTCCGAGGGAGAGATCTAGAAGAGGCTGAGCTATCTACCTTGTTCCCTCCAGATGTTCAGTCACGAATGGGAGATGAGTAAAGGCGGAGGGGTGGGCGCAACCTTGGAATGGGCACATATGCCAAGTAGATTAGGCTCATGACTAAGTCAGCATCTGCTCAGCTGTCTCAAACCTCCCAGTCTTTTACTCTTGAAATGAGTCCTTGGCATTTAATGTCCCCCTTCCCTTATTGCTTATCCCCTCGAATTGAGGCTTGGGCCTCCTGCTCTGATCCCTGCTCAGCTTGGTTCCCAGGGATCCAGAGCCCTGTGTATGGAGTCAGACTGGATGAAGCAACAGAAAGAAACTACTTTTTCTTTCTTCCTGCTTGCCTTTTTTACCATCAAAGGAAATTCAGATCTTCAGCCCTGGCTGTCCAGGCCAGTTTGGGCTCTAGCACAGGGGACATGGCAACACCCAGCTGGTGTACCAGTTCTAGCAGGCACAGTGAAATGTGGGCACATTCAGCTTTCAGGGGCCCCAAGTTCCTCTCTCCTCAGTTCTGAATAAAGATCAGAGAACACATCTACATTTCCTCCCTCCATGAAGCATTTTTATTTACTTAAGCATTTTTATTTTATTTTTGTTGTCTGTTTTGGGACAGAGTCTCACTATGTAGTCCTGACTAGCCTGGAACTTTGTACGTAAACAAGGTTGGCCCCAAACTCCCAGAGATCCACCCATCTCTGTTTCCCAAGTGCTGGAACTAATAGCATGCACTACTGTGTGTGGCCTATTTATTCTTAATTATGTATTTGTGTGTCTGTCTGTGTAGGGGTATGTGTACTTTAGTATAGGTTTTCAATGAAGGCAGAAGCCTCAGGTCCACCTGGACCTGGATTTACAAATGGTTGTAAACTACCTGACATGTGCGTTGGAAAATGAACTTGGGTCCTCTGCAACATGTGACCTTAGCCACTGAAGCATCTCTCCAGCCCAGTTCCTTTCTTGTTTTAAGAATACGCATTTACTTTATGATTCGAGAAGTATGATTCTGTGTGTGATATGGTGGCACATGCCTGCTGGGGTCTAGGAATTGCCACACAAACCACTCCGACACTGATCTTGATCAACTAGGGATGGTTTACTGGATGTCACACCCCAAGACTGGTCGATTAGGGAAATGTCTCAGGCTCAGGAGCCAAACCATGACCCCAAGTTAAGCTTCTACAGGGTTTTAAAGCCCCAAACCTCAAACATCTGTGTCATGTTATTTCTCCAGTCAGGATTTAGGATGGGAGATTTCTTTAGGAACGTGTCTTCATTGTACACTTGTCCTGTTCCCTTGGTTGGGACTTGCCTTGTCTAATATTCATGTCTTAACTTGTCTACCATGATGGGACTTGTTTTGACTAAAGTTCGTATCTTAGCTTGCCAACCTGGATCAGTTGCCTATGTACATGTCTCTTTCTGCCAAGTAGAAAGTCAGTTCCCAAGGAGGTCTTGGGAACTGAAACTTTACTTGATTGACAAAATGGAAGTCTTATTTTCAATAGTTTCTTATATCTCTTATGTTGGGGTTCACCCCAGGGGCAACTTATAAAAGCAAATACCATAAAAGCTTTATACATAGATGCAGAAAGTGCTGTTGGGTGGCCAGTTCAGGTCCAAACTTATAGTAACCATACAAAGCAGTTCTACTGACTATCGTGATTGGTTTCCCAGGGCACAGAACATACAGAATATGTAATCAATCTTGGCATTAGAAAGTTTCCTCATAATGGCAGGTTGGCCAGGTAACAGTTACCTAGGCCTTAATATTTTACCTAGTCCTTAATGTATAATTCCCATGATTCCGCACACAGTAGGTAGAGGCAAGAGGATCAGGATCTCAACGTCATCTTAGGCTACATAGTGTCTTCAAGACCAGCCTGGGCTACATAAGACTGTTTCAAAAAAGAAAAGATCTTGGCATGGTGTTTCTATACCTTTAATCCCAGGGCTTGGGATAAAGCAGAAACAGGCTGATCTCTCTGTGAGTTCAAGGTTAACCTGATTTACATAGCAGATTCCAGGACTACATAGAGGCCCTACCATTTTTTTAATCAAAAAATAAATCAAAAGTTTTATTTTGCCTGTGAGCTGGAGATGGGAAGGTTGACAGTTCAAGGACAACCTGAGCTATGAGACCCTTCTTGAAAATCTAAGTCTAAGAGGCATCTTGGCACTTGGAGCTTGCCTGTGTCAGCCACTAGGTGGTGCTCTCTTAGATGATTGCTTTCGGTGTCGCAAGTGCAGTCAGTGCTTAGTGGTTGCTTTAGTCCCCATGCCAAAGTGCAGACCTGTATTGCAACAGACCTCAGCCTAGAGGGACCATTTAAAGGCACCTGGGATTCCGGACTATGCGGCTTCCTAGTGTGTGGCCGGAGATAAGGTAATCTTCCTCTCTCCAAAAAAGTAGGATCTACGGCCGTGAGGAGCCGGCTTGAGCCATGATTGGTTCCAATCAATCTGGGTTCTGTGTCGGCGCTCGGTACAGGGTGCAGCGCAATTTCGATCCTCCGAGTCGGTTAGCGGCGCTCGCGGGCTTGGCGGGGGCGCAGGGGCGGCGGCGCTCCGTCCCGCTCCTCTCGGCGTCCGCGGGGCGGGGACAGCACGGCGGCGGCCGCTCAGTGTCGCGGGAGCCGGACCGCGCAGGCCCGTCCCGGCGGCCCGGGGGGCGCCATGTGGTTCATGTACGTGCTGAGTTGGCTGTCGCTGTTCATCCAAGTGGCATTCATCACTCTGGCCGTCGGTGAGAGCGCTGACCCGGGCCGCGCGCGTCCCGGTGCCCCGAGCCGCCAACCGCTGCTGTGCTTTGCAGCTGGGCGCTGACGACCCCGAGCTGGTCCTACTGGACCTCCGCCGAACCTTCCGGGGGTGTTGCTTGGGTCCCGAGACGCATCCTTGCTCTCGGAGCCCTGGGCTCCCTACTCTGCCTGTCCCCTCCAGCTGGGGCAGGGAAAAGGCCCCCCAACTGTCTCTCACCCGGCTGTGAGCTAGTGTACAGCACCCGGCCTGTAAACTAAGTGTTCTGCAGGTGTTGATTGTCTTGAATGGAGTTTAAGGTTACTGGAACAGAGGTTAACTTTATGCTGTGCGATCAAATCCAGTCTTTCTACAGTTGTCTTGGCAAAGTTCTACTTGTGCAGATGAGAAGGACATCCCAGGGGTGCTTTGGCTTGTTCCCGACTTCCTGGAGTCTGGGGAGGGTAGGTGGGGGACTATGGGATGAGCAGGCTGGTGGGAGTGTCCCTGGCTGATCTTTTCCTGTTTGTCCCCTCCTATGACCTCCCTCTCCTACCCAGCGGCTGGACTGTACTACCTAGCAGAGCTGATAGAAGAATACACGGTGGCCACCAGCAGAATCATCAAATACATGATCTGGGTAAGTGCCTGCTTTTCCCTGGAGTCACCCAGGGCTTGCTTGCCCTACATCAGAAGCAGGAACTGGGGACTGTTTGGGTTGGGACTGATTTGGTTTTGAGAACCCAGGTTCTGAGAGTGTCCCTCTTTCTTCTCCACCCCGCAATCTGCATGCACTCCCAGGTCCAGATCACCCCTGGCCCTCCAGCCTCAGGTGGCATTGTTTCACAACCTACTAAGGTGACAGTCCAGATATTTCAATGACAGGTATTCATAGCTTTGCTTTCATGTGGCTGTCTCCTACTGTGTCCACTGACTCCAGCACCATATCCCCAATCCCAGTCCAGGCTTAGAACTTATAGGGACCATAAGGACAGTTTGTAGTGAGTGCTTAGTTATTGCCCTTTTTCTAATCAGTGTGATTTGTCCTAACGGAGCGTGCCTGGCCCTTTCTCCTGCCTCATGGGAGGTTTCTTTTCCTGAAGACTTGGTCCCTGTCCCTGATAGGGAGGCTGTAGGAAGGTTTCCTTCAGCAGCTGTGAGGAAGGCAGAGGTGGCTGTGGGATTGCCTTTGGACAGAAAAGTTCATCTTTCACTCACCTAATGTCTGCAGCTACTTTCACTCTCAATGCAGCCTGGGGCTATAGTCTGTGGTAAAGTCAGGGCCACAGCCGGTTCATTGGCTCAGTCAGTGGGTGTGGTTGGTATAGCAATTAGACCTTTCATCACTGACAACTGAAGCCTTTCTCAGACTGCCTGCTGGATTCATTACTGAGTTATGTAATTGATTCAGTAGATCATGCTTAGCATTCAAGGAAGATATGAAACAGAGGAGTGGGGAGCGTGCATGTGGCCTTGGTTAGATCCTCAGCTCCAAACCCAATGACAGTAAAGACGAGAGCAGACAAATTTGTGCTCTGTCACACGTGTGGGTGTGTGCTTGGTGGAGTGCCATGTAAAATGTTTTTTCTTACTTTGGATCACTGTCAAAAATGTTTTAGAAGTGACCTTCAGAAACACCACCTTTGAGAGCTGAGTGTGGTTTCTATGAACCAAGAAAACCAAAGTGCATTTGTAACACTGTGCTGAGCAGGCTGGGGCTGACAGTACAGGAGGCCTGACAGTCCCCTGAGCGAGAGCCTCTGCCTGTTTCAGTTCTCCACAGCAGTGCTGATTGGCCTCTACGTCTTCGAGCGCTTCCCCACCAGCATGATTGGCGTGGGCCTTTTCACCAACCTCGTCTACTTTGGCCTTCTCCAGACCTTCCCCTTCATCATGCTGACGTCACCTAACTTCATCCTGTCGTGCGGTGAGAGGGGGCAAGCAGGGAAGACTTGACGTGACTAGATGTGGGCACTCTGTCCCAGACACTGGTGGGGATCCTGAAGAGGAGAGCAGCTGAGAAGCTGCTGAGGTCCTGTAGGAAGCCACGCTGCTTGGGAAAAAATGGCTTCTCGTTCCTGAGGACACTAGAGCCGGTCTCTGCCTAGGGCCTAGTCCTCATCAGGGGAAGGGCTCCAGCCAGGAGGACCTGGGCAGAGTCAAGTTAGAAGGAGGGCTTGGGAAAGAAGAGAAGCACACTATTTCCTGTCCCTGGACAGTCATTTCTCATCCCTGAGTGATTCTGTTAGACACAGCTGGTTTATACAGTGGTCACAGTTGTGCACAGATGTTTGTGAGAAAGGTTTTAGAAAGTGCTTGGCCACAGGTACTGTTTTTTTTCCCTTGCTGTAGGCTGGTTCCAGATGGCAGGTGGTGTGGGGTGTGCTTTAGAGTTACATTTCTGAGTCTAGAGGGAAATCTGAATCTTATCCGTAGAAGGGAAGATTGTTAGAGTTTGGGGCATGTCAGTGTCAGGTGTAATTTTTACCTCAGAATCTGTTCAGCAGGAGTTTGTTCAGCACCAAGGCTCCCTGTGGGTCTCCCAGAGAGCAGCTCTGGCCACCAGAAGGCTCTTCTGGCTTCCTATGTCACTCCCTTGGCCTGTCCTTTGGATGCCTGGGAAGGTTTTTCTGAGGTACCTCGTGGGCACCAGGTGCTATCTATGCCTTAGTGTCCCTTAGCCTTGTGCTGGCATGGCAGAGTTCTGTCTTCATGGTAAAGGGTGGAGACGAGACATGTAGTTGTGACGTGGGTATGGGAGACATGGTCTTTCTGGTGCCTGCTCTTCATCCTGCCGTAGGGGTGAGTAGGGCTCAGTGCCTCTGAGCAGCTGTCCTTCACTTGCTCTTTTTCATGAACTTGTCCACACTAGGACGAATGTATGGGACCAGAGCACACAGTATAGGTTGGTGTGTCTTTCCCTGTGCTAGCTTTCCAAGGAACCTCGGAGAGTAAGAACCTGGTCCCGATCTGCGGCAGTCTTCTCTCTGCTGTGCAGTGTGACGCACTCTGATGTGGTCTGTGGTCTGCCTACCCGTGGCCTCTCCTCGAACCTTGCTCTTGGGAGAGCAATGGCATGATCATGGATTATATGGAACACAAAGAAAACCTGGTTTTTATAACATGTCAGAATGTTCCAGTCTACCTTCTGATCCTGTTCCTGCTGCCCTCTGCAGTGAGAAAGTTGGGGCTGAGCACCCATTTTTAACAGATGGGGACTAGGGTCTAGGCAGTGCCCTTGGCCCTGAGCCATGCTGTGAGTTGGTATAGAGTCAAGACTGAGACCGAGGGCTCCGGTTTTGGGGCCTTCTGGATTTAGCAAGCACACTGTGACCAGACTCTCCATCCCCACAGGGCTAGTGGTGGTGAACCATTACCTGGCATTTCAGTTTTTTGCGGAAGAATACTATCCTTTCTCTGAGGTAAGATGTACCCAGTGTCTTGCACATATTTGTTGTGGCAGGGATGGGGGAGTAAAGGGACTTAAATGATCTGCATTGTGACTATAGCTGTGATCCAAAAGTGACTCCATTCACACACACCAGAAGAGGGCATCCGGTTCCCATTACAGATGGTTGTGAACCACCATGTAGTTGCTAGGACTTGAACTCAGGACCTCTGGAAGAGTAATCAGTGCTCTTAACTGCTAAGCCATCTCTCCAGCTCCTGGGTTTTTGTTGTTGTTGTTTGTTTGTTTGTTTTTGTTTTTGCAAACAAATAATGATTTTGGAAGGCAGGGTGTCTGAAGAGCAGAAGGGATCCCTTTGCCGAGAAGGGAGGACCCTGCTCTCTCCCAGTGTGTCCTGTGGGTGCTCAGTGGGTCATCTTCAAGTCTAGAAGGGGCAGCAGGCTGGCCTGTGTGAGCCAGAACACAAACGGCAGGACCCCCAGCTCCAGCTCCATCAGCATGTCCCCAAGATTCCTCCCACCTGAAGCCCCAGAGAGCAGTGTCACCTTGGAGCAGGACTGCATTCACACAGCTGCACTTTCCCTCCCTCCCCCAACAGTCTGTGTCAGAGTCCTGTTTCCTGAGTGCTAGCCCCTGCAGGGTGGGGTGGGCCTTTGGGGCGCCCCTAGGGCTCTCCCTTCTCAGTCTCTCCTGTCACCAGGTCCTGGCCTACTTCACATTCTGCCTGTGGATAATCCCGTTTGCTTTCTTCGTGTCACTCTCAGCTGGGGAGAATGTCCTGCCCTCCACCATGCAGCCAGGCGGTGAGGAAGGGCTTCTTAGGTCAGGTGGGGGGGACTGGCACCAGCCCTGTGAGAAGACACTGGGGCTTTGGGTGATGAGGACTGCATACACGTACACATGCATGCGTGTGCGTGCTCATCTCCCTGCCTGTGTTTCTACAGATGACGTGGTCTCCAATTACTTCACCAAAGGCAAGCGAGGCAAGCGCTTAGGCATCCTGGTTGTCTTCTCCTTCATCAAAGAGGCCATCCTACCCAGTCGGCAGAAGATATACTGACCCTTTGGGGAGGGCATGTGGGGGGCAAGACCAATAGAGCCAGGCCCCCTGGGACTCTGGGCTAATCGTGCCTGGGAGCCTGGAAAGTGTCTGCCAGCCCAGGTTTCCCTCCCCTCTGTTCTGAAGCCCCATCCCCATCCTCCTCAGGAGGCTTGAATGCTGCCCAGGGCACCAGAGAGGGTAGCAGAGCCTGCTATGCCAGGAGGCTATGTTCCCAGCCCTTCCCTCTCCAGAGGTGGGTCTGGTCAGATGGGGCAGGCAGGGAAGCGTGTATGAAGCTGGGGGACTGTCAGCAAGTTCTCAGGCAGGTGGCCATAGGGAGGAGCTGAGGGGCAGCACTTCCAGGAAAAGTGCATTTTGCTGTTGAAACGTGGGTCTTGTCCAATGCTGATTCCCTTTTGAATAAAGATTCTAGGTGGCACTGTTTGCCTTAACACCTGAGGAGTTCATCTCCTTCTCTGCCTGCTAATCTTCTGCCTAGACTGGGCTAGCCTAGCCTGCTCTAGGGACTCCTCTTCTGGCTCTTGCCCTTCTGATAGGGATTCTTATGGCCCTAGGTGGGATGAGAACAGAGATGAGAATGAGGGGGCAAAGGCAGTTTTTCTGAGACTCCTCCTTCTTTCCATGTCTCTTTCCCCAGACTGTGATAGTCTGGAGTGGGGGAGGGGTAGAAAGTTTATGGCTGGGTTAGAGATGCAGCCCGTCTACAATATCCTATTTATGTCTTCCTTTGAGAAAAAGGAGAAATTTCTTGGTAAATTCTATCTCAGGCTCAATGAAAAAAATAAACATTGGCTTCTAGGCAGCCTAGGCTGTGGCCTGTTTGTTGAGAAATGGGGCTGGGAAAGGCTGCCGCTCAGAGCACACAGGCCTCACGCCAGCGCTCCTGGCTCCTGGAGGGATGTGAGCTCTGTCTTCTAAGAAGGCGGGCCTCATCCTAGGCACAGACCAGCATCTGTTGGCCTTGCACTCCAACTACACACAGTGCCTTGCAGGGGCTCAGCAGGGTAGGAATGGACGTCCCCTCCCCCAGCCGAATCTCGTACCTCACAGTGAGTCTGGCAGGTGCCCAGATGGACAAGGCATGGGCAAGATCCCAGTTCGTGAACATCTTACGCATCCGTCATCGCATCGGCTCTTGCGTTTCTGTCGAGTCTTGGCCTGCTATTTTCTGAATTTGTTGTGCAGCTACAGGTGAGATCGCCAGACCTATTCCTGCCACTCGGTGGGTTAAGGTATAGGACATGGGCTGCTGCCCACCAGTGGGCTCAGACTGGCCCTGCTTGCTTGGCTGTCCACTTTATCTTTGTTCATCCTGCCTGCTGCTCAGACAGGGGCTTTCACAAGCTCACCCCGGTCGACTCATCACAGATCACCTGCTAGATCTTGTAGCTGGCACAGCTGATGGCCTGCTTTTTGGCTCGCACTTGTGTGGCTGTTGTCCCTTTACCTCTGTCCTTTCAGTCTGTTATATAGGCTTCTTTCTCGCCCTGTGCACACAGGGGCTCCTTGGCTGTCTTATGAATTTCCTCAGGAAGCCCAGCTGTGCTGGTGGCTTTAGGGATGCTGTGGAGGAAGCCAGGGCCAACCTTCAGTCCCAGCTACTTCCTAACTCAACCACAGTTCTGCTGCCTCATGGGCAGAGACAATTTGAGCTCAGCATCTGTCTGTTCACCCGCTCTTTGCAGTACCTCGTCTCTGGTCTCATGACGGCACAGGAGCCAGGCAGGCTGTTGCTTTCTCTTTCTGCCCTACGTCTAGTCTACCTGATCTGATCTTGGTATCTCTGTATTTGGGCCACCTCTACTGTCATCTCTCACCTCATTTTGTTTTGACAGTTCCCTATGTTTCTCTATCCTTTGACCAGCTAGGGTTCTTTCTAAAATGCACAGTTGGCCAAGTCTTTTCTGGCCCCCAACTCTCCCCAGCTCTCCACTGCCCTCAGGATAAAGTCCAGACTCCTTAGCATGGTGTGGGAGGCTCCTGGGTCCCTCACTAGCTTCACCACTTGACATGTGCTCTGGGTCCCAGCCTCCTGTACACAGAGACCATGGCTCTAGCTGCTTTGATACCCTTCCTTCCACTTACTTTGGTAACTTGCCACTTTTCCTCTTAGATTTTATTTCCTCCAAGGAGCCTTGAATGTCCCCTCCTCCCCTAGCCCCAGCTGCCACACAGACCCCTCTAGGCTCACTGGCCTGCAGTGTGGTCTGTCTCCCCACTAGACTGGAAGCTCCTTGAGGGCAGGGAAAGCCCTTGGGGTTTTGTATTATCAACTACCTGATTTTGGCGCCTGGCCCATGGAAAGCACTCAATAAATGTTTTGTTTAAAGAGTGAGCTGTAGTATGTGGCCAGGGCACATCTGAGTCCAGGATAGCTTCTCCTGGACAGGTTTCACATCAAAGCCACAGGTCTTCCTCTCTTGGCAGAAGTGCTGCTCAGCCTCCTGGAACTGCAGCTTCACCTACTCCAGTGGGGCCATGAACAAGGGGCATGAGCAGAGAAGCCGGTGGGACATGGTATGAGCTGTTCCCATTGCCAGTCAGGGTCTGCAGCAGACAGGAAGGACACATGGCAGAGTTCCTAGGAGTGACCTGTCCTGGAAGCCTTGTCCCTGGGTGTGCTAGGGTAAGTTAAGGTACCTGAGGACCAGGGGGACTTTTACATTGCTGTGTCCCAGGACAGTAACAGCCTCTACTCTGAACCTTGTGCTCTGTCCAGATGTACACATCCCTGGGAGCCAGGCAGTTTCTCTGTAGAGAAAAGGGAGGGGTGGGATGTGTGCTTTGGGGAAGAGGGATAGTTAGGGGTGGCTTCTGCCCCTGGGAATGAGAACCCTACCACATTTCTAACCACAATACGAATCTAACACTTCCACTTTCACCAGAGGCTTCCAGAACAACTTTATGTGATAACTCACTTGGAGGGTGGGGCCACTTGAGTCTGGCAGGCTTTCAGGGAATTGACGAAGGGTTTATCAAATGTCGTACGTAGGCTCATGGCCATTGTATTGGTACAAGTGTCTCTCAAATGCCGTTTCTCAGGCACTTGGAGTATGTCGCGTGGATACAAGCCCTGGGGCACTTTCATCCTGTAGGGTTGAGTCCCTGGGTACAGCACCCGGACCATCACCTCAAAAGGCAGCTTGGGTACAGGTGTCACCAACTGATGGTCCACTGTTCGCAGGCATGTACCCCCAAGTTTATTTCGAGTCATCTCCAGGAATCTGCAGAAGTCATGCTCCTTACAGGATTCTGGGTGCACACCCAGGCGTATACCCTGTGGGTAGCCAATATTTGTGGTCGGGGAGCTGGCAGGGTTAGCACTGTAATTCCATATCTTGGGCCGACTGATGGTGGTCTGTTTGTAGATGGGCTTGGGTGGCACCACGGGTGAGGGCAAGCTTTTCAACCGAGCTTCCACGGATGGATAATGGAAGCTTTTAGCAGTCTGGCATCCTAAAGTCTTGGAGGCTAGTGACCAAGGTCGGACACCAGCCTTTTGCTTGGAGTCAGCAGAGCCCGGGGTCTGGGCGAGCACCTTGCTTTGGAGCCACTTTCTGAAATGAGCCTCTCTCAGAATTTGTTGTTCTTTCTGCAACAATGAAGGGCACAGAGCAGTGGCATTTATGGGCAGGAGGACCCTGTGGCTAGCACCCTGGGAAACCTCAGGTTTAGTTTTCCTGCTGCCTTATGTGAGCCTTGTTTTGATGGAGGAGGCATCTCTTGTTCTGACTGAGCTCCCAGGCTATGGAGTTGACAAAGACTTTCATAGGAGACCTTCAGCTTGAGGACAGACATAGGGACAACCTCAGCTTTGCAGAGAGAAGGTACCACTTCCCTAGAGGTAGCCCCAGCCTCAGTGGGGAAAGTCCTGCTCTCTGATATGACCTCGGAAAGGATGAAGGGCTAGGAGGCTTAACATTGAATGGAAGTAATGAAGTTGCACAGGCTTCTGGGAAGTGACCTTGAGGAGGACAGAGTGCCTGGCTGCCAGACTGGGTGGTCGGGACTTAGCCAGAGTTCTGTCTTTACCACCACCTGCACTGAACTTCTACGTGTGTGGCAATGTCCCTGCCCTATTATCTCTGTCTCACTCCCACACAGTTGCTAAGTAATCAGGTGCTTTGGAGATTGACCCAGCTCCAGAGGCAGGTTCTGATTAGATTAAGCCAGGAGTCCTAATTCCTTCACCCTTGCCCAGTCCCAAGTCAGGTAGCATCTGGCTTGCTTTTTGTTCTAGCCAATGTGTTCTAGCCAGGATCATGTGTTCCCATTGGGGCTAACAAGAGGATCCTGAGTGGAGGTCTGCAGGGGCTTCTGAGTAGGATCAGGGTCAACAGGAAACCTGATAGCTGGATGGGCTGGGTGACACAGACTAGAGGGTGACACAGACTAGAGAAGCACAGCGGGGACAACTGGAATAGTACAACCATGGCAGGGCCCTGCAGCCATTGTAGGATTCACTTAAGGATCCAAGTCCTTGAGCTGGGCTGTGGTGGCATATGTTCCCAGCTCTTGTGAGGCGCAGGCAGATCTCTGAGGTTCAAGGCCAGCCTGGTGTACAGAGCAAGTGACAGGACAACCAGAGCTACACATAGAAACCCTGTCTCAAACAAAACAAAACAAAATACAAAAGAATCCAAGCCTTACTTTTCCTGTTTTAAGTGTTTTATGCTCCATGATTATATCTGCTAAACCCTTGCCCCATCACTGGTCTGGACCCTTGTCAAACCTCTAGTCTGTCAGTTTCCACCCAACTTATACCTGACCCCCAGATTGGCTGTTTTCTGCCTCCACAGTGGTCCTGAGTGCCCTGTCTGTGATTCTGTCTGTGGGCCAGTCATTCCTTATCCATATGGATAAGATGCCTGTCAGTTTCTTCAAAGATACCTTCAGGCACCTTCCTGGCCCCTCCCCACAGGTGCATAACCCACCTCTCCCTAGCACCTAAGTTCCTTGAGCGGAGGACCACACTTTGCTGGCCTTTGGGACCTAGCAGGAGCCTAGTGTACAGTGAAGTTAGGGCATCTGTTAGGAGTTTTCTTTTTTAATGAGTAGGCACCCCAAAGTTAGGAAGTGTCCAATTCCATTAGAGATTCTCATCCTAGAGGGTTAGTGACTAACAAGGACTCTGAATACCCTGCAGTTCAGGCTGCATTTGCTTTCTGACACAGGACAAGACCTTTGGCCTAAAGGGATGGTTTTTAAGGGAGTATTTGTCGGGGGAGCAGGGGTTCCTTCTGAGAAGAGAGTGTCCCAGCCACTCCACACACCACGGCAAGAAGGCCCTAGTGTGACAGCAGAACCTAGCCCTGGGGAAGAACTCCCCCTTACTTGATATTCAGTCAGGTAGCGATACTCCAAAATGGTCAGCTTCTCCTTCAGGGTCTTCAGTTTCTCCATCTCTCGGGCAAAGACCTTCTTATCATGTTTCCACATGGCATCCTTCAAGAACCTGGCACCAAGGTGAGGGTGTGTCAGATTATAGGAACTGGGCTTCCCTTGAGGTGAGGTGCTGAGGGCCAGTGGGATGAGAGGAATTACCAGAGCAGAGAGGAGCAAAACATCCCATCCCTGGATTTGGGTCCTGATTGAAGAACAGGGGAAAGCAAAGGCAAAGAAGTGGGGCAGTGTTCAATCTAAAGGGGGTGAGGTCAGGCTGAACTCATGCTGACAATATCTTATTTAGGGCCTCTTTTCCAGACTTTACCCAACTGCCACCTGTCTTCCTCAACCCTCCACCACTGAGAGGCTCAGCCTGGGGGAAGGACTTTGCAAGAGGAAGTGGGAGCAGTATGGTTGTCACAGGCTCACCGGGCACAGGTACGGTGGTTCCACAGTCTGCAGTAGTCAATGGGCTTGAAGCCCGCGGCATCTTGGGCATGCAGATCGGCTCCACTCTGCACCAGCAGCTTGGCACATCCCAGCAGGCCATTGCAGGAGGCCAGATGCAGGGGTGTGGAGCCGTTGTATGTCTGCCTGTGACGTATGCCAAGGGTGAAGGGCAGAAGGGAAGGGTAAAGGCATTAGATAGCCAGGCAAGCCAACTTCCAGGGCCCACTCTGCCACCACCAGGGGGGGATCCTGTCCGTACCCTGCTCTTCTTAGAGCTCCACCTTTCTCTTCTCTAGGAGGAGGGATGGACTCTAGGAGCAGTACAAAGTATAGGATATATTTGAATATGACAGCTAGGAACTACCAAGTACCCTGGGTTGATTCGGAGCCACCAATCATCTCAGCGACTTTTGGGATAAAGTCTCTTGCTGATCTGGAATTTGTAATGTAGCCAAAGATGATCTTGAATCCCTGATCATCCTGCCTCCATCTCCCGAGTGCTGAGTGTGCAGATAGATATGTACTACCACGTCTGGCTCGTCCTAGGCTTTTGGCAAGGTTAGCTCACTTGGTTCACAAGTTGAAGTTAATTTTATTGTGTGTGGTGTGTGTATGTGTGTATGCATGTTCACATGTGTGTGTGTGCATGGGGTAGGGGTTCATATGGATATATACACAACTGTATGGAGGCCAGAGGTTGACAATGGTATCTTCCTCCATTAGCCTTTACCTTCTATGTAGAGGCAGGGTCTCTCACTTGAACTCAGAGCACACTGAAGCAGCTAATCTAAGCTAGCCATCTTGCTTGGGGGTTTCCTGTCTCTGACTCCCATGGGCTAGAATACAGAAGGTCACCATACCCAACTGGCATTTACATGGATGATGAGGATTTGAACTCAGTTCCTTGCACTTGTACAATGAGTGCTTTACCCACTGAGCTATCTCCCCAGTCTCTATAGGTTGCAATTAAATGTCACCTCCTGGGGCTGTGGATGCACTTCCTCTGATAGACTGCTTGCTAGCATACTTGAAGCCCTGGGTTCATCCTCATCAAGGTATCAAATCAGGTGTGATAATCCCAGCGCTTGTGAAGCAGAGGCATGAGAATCAGAAATTCAAGATCCTCCTCGGCTATTGTAGCCAGTTTGAGGGTAGCCTGGATTACACAAGGCACTTTTAAAAATGATGAAGAAAGAGGGAAAAGCCACCTTCTTAGAGGTTATTGCTTCTTATCCATAGTTCCTACTCCAGTGCTCCCACCTCTCACCCCATTGTTCTCTTCAGAGCCAAGCTCTCGGAATTGTGGTCATTCATTCATGTATTTGCAATTAGCAAACTGTCCAGCCACTAGAAAGTCAGCTCTGTGAGTACTGGGGTTGGCTCCCTGTGTTTATGGCTATGTTCCCAGCTTGGGTATGGTGCTTGTTAGCACATAGTGAGTGCTCAGTAAGGACTGGGTGAGTAAAGTAGCCTCTGGTATGCATTTTCCTTGCCAT